TAAGTAATATCAAGTGAGCAGCTTTTTCGAAAATATTTGTTTTTATAGATTATTTATTGATTAAAAAATGTAGCGATCCCTGTCCTATTCTGAATAGCTCAATGTTACGTACACGTTATAAATTGCAAAGAAATTCCAGGCTAAAAAGTAGAAAAAATACAATATTTTGTCTGTTGAGCCTATTTCGGGTACGAGAGATAGAGAAGAAGATTAAAAGCACAGGAGAACAAAGGACAGAGCAGGTGGGAAGCTTGTTATAGATTTACAGTATTAATAATTTGTTGAGCACACATTTGATTAGAGGAACAATATTTGGGAAGGCATCCATTGCACAAAATGAGGCGTTACAGTATTATACAGTGTATTTACATCTTTTGCATGATTGCCTGAAAAAAAAATAGTGCCAATGTATACTTATATTAAACTATGGCAAAAGATCTGGTCTTTTAAAGACCACACCTGAAATTCTGATGACAGTGAAGAGCTCTTTTCCCTATTCTGAAAGTCACACTCCTCCCAGTGTTGACAGTTATGAGGTTCTTTCAGTTGTTTTAAATCCTTTAATAAAGACCACAGAAAGACCCATCCAGGAATGGTTGGGAATGACTGTGCCCTTCACCGTGAACCCTTTTCTCATTGGGGTAAACGCAATCGGTGATTCACGCACTGAAGCAGTCTAGCAGCGGGGTTTTATACTTAGATCATGCGACTTCCTGTCAAGGGTCAAACAAATCCTCCTTTAACTCTAAAAACTGAGCAGCTGAGGCTGGCCTCCATGCTGGCCTGACAAATGTGATCATCTGGGCTCCTCAGGGGGTCACTTCTGGTTCAAAGACTGAGCTGAAAACATTTTGGACCGGCAAACAGGTGACGTCACCCTCATTTTCTCCCTTTCACATTTCTGGCACTTGAAGTGACACGGCTTGCTCTCTGGGAGCCCGCGCTGTAGCAGGGCGCCTGCAATCACTCACCTAGCTGAGTTTATGGCGCTTAACCCAAATGCTTCATAGCTCAAACGGAACTTTTCCGTTCTTCAAAAGCAAACCAGAAAGTTGAAATAAAAGTACTGTGCCACAGAAAAATGCGTGAACCCCTTCATATTCTTGTAAGTTTTAGACCTAAATTGTAATCAAATCTTCATGGAAGTCTTCATAAAAAATGAAGATAACCTGATTAAACATACCACACACAAGACATATTTTGATGATTTAATTCGCAAACTGTTGCAACAGTAAATATCCTTCTGTGAATGAGCTTTAGATTCAGTAACTGGTGGCACCCCCGTGGCCAGCAATGACTCCAACTAATGTTTCCTGTAATGGTAAAAAACCGTAACTCCTGTAATTACACTGCAGGTTCACAGACCTTTTTCTCACCACCGTGAATGTAACAATTGCTCACAATGCATGCTACCACCAGGCACTTTCCCCTACAACGGAACTCGCTGCATCACCTGTAAGCTGCACAATTCGAGTAAGTCTTAGTCGTATGCTACAGAAAATCATTAGGAACATCTGCAGCCGAAGCCGAAATGGTAGACATGGCTAACAACTGCTTTTTCATCCTGTCACAACACCCACTGCAGAATGTCTGAAAAGAGAGAATGATCTAGTCTTTTCATCATATCAAGAAGACAGAGTAAGGAAAACAGAGGCGAGAGTGCCGTTTGAGAGTTGTGATTACCACCCGGTTCGCCTTGATGAATTATATTTTGAGAAAGCATGTTTACAGTGCACAAACAAAGGATTGCCAATTTCAGGCAAGAGGACTGAAGGAATGAACTGTAGAGAGAACAGGACAGGACAGATACCTATTCAGTAGAGAATGAATGGCAACAGATTGAAGACATTCTGTAAGAAGCACATGTTACAAATCTCAGGCAGAGACACGTCCAATAAGATGCATCTTATGTAACAGTGTTACTGTTAGATAAGAGTAAATAAAGATGCAGGATACAGTTCATTGTGGGGCTGCTGGTCTTCCTAATTTACTTCTGAAGAAAAATGCCTACACACAGATGGTGTTTCTAGTTGAAGTAAACAGAGTTTTTTTTTTCTCCAATGTAAACACGGCTGCCTGCGTCTTAAACAAAAGATACCTTTGTGTGTGTATCACACAGAATATTCTCTACAGTCAATAAACCAATAGCTAGAAACCAGTGGCCTAAAGGGAACAATAAGTAAACGAAAAGAACACACTTTACAGAATTATTAAAACAAAACTAACAAAATGGAGAACAATAAATTGCACGTATTGCTGTAAAAAAAAACAATATTAAAAAGGACTGAAGAAGAAAAAAAATATTGGACTGAAGGCTAAAAATAAAAGGTTTTTTTCATGATAGCAGAAAAAGAACCGTAAATGACACAGTAAAGTGTCTGACAGATAATAATGGCAAATATTTAGACCATGAAAAGGAATCATTCAGGTGATCACCAAAGAAGAATCAATAACAGACCTCAGGCTAAGCAAAAACAAAGTTCTATACTGAGTACCAAAATAATCTTATTAATTTATGTCTACAAGTATGTTTTTAGAAACATAAAGTATGTGGAATTTGGATGTTGGTTAAATATTTCTGTTGTCCTTTTCATTTATGGCCCATTCATTACTGAGGGTGATTATTACTGCCGGAGTGACTCTGTTGAATGAATACTAGATAGTTTGAAACCTGACTGGACGTAGGTGATGAGGTGGTTAAAGCTGTTGGCTGTCAAGCCCGGTGAGATTCAAGAAAGAAAACAGCAGAAAGGAGCCAATGTCCCACTCTGCTCAAGAGAACAATGTTTTTGTGCCATCAGTGTATTGAAGGCTGGACTACAGGGGCGGAGAGGTGGCTCTGTGGCTCAGGATCTGCGTCTGTGACTGGAAGGTTGCCGGTTCAAATGCCGCGGCCGGCAAAGGAATCCTACTCCGTTGGGCCCCTGAGCAAGGCCCTTAACCCCAACTGCTCCAGGGGCGCCGTACAATGGCTGACCCTGCGCTCTGACCCCAAGCTTCTCTCCCTGTCTGTGTCTCCTTGGAGAAAAGCTAGGGTATGCGAAAAGACGAATTCCTAATGCAAGAAACTGTATAGGGCTAATAAAGAAACATTATAACATTATAACATTATAACATTATAAGTCAACGCACTATAACAAATTTACCTGGCGTGCTCAGTGACAGCAAGCTCTCACCCAGCAAGACTTTACAGCTAAACACAGTCCAGCAACAGCACAAACCTGGTCCGGGAGAACACAAGTCATGATGCCTCACAGAGACTGATAGGGAGGAACAAGAGAGGTAGCATGGGCAGGAGTGTGCTGCAGCTCTCCTGCTACCAGTGATTAATGACAACCTGACTGCATGGCGCCTTCCCTGATAACAAATCTGGGAACTGGTTGCACTTTTAAGTGCTAAGATGTTTAGCCATGAGCTATGGCTCCGTTCTTCATTCACCATCCCTGTTCGAAAGGAACATTAGGTCTGTCGGGGAACTGCAACAAATGTATCAGAAAACCATTCTCGTGTCAAGGAAGTGAAAACTACACACGTACTGCATATTTACATTTACATTTCAACTCTTAGTGAGAATGGGAGCTGCGCCCACAGACTGCAGAACTGCACATGAAACACCAATTTATGAAAAGAAGGAAAAAAACTGCCCTAGGAAACTTCTGGCCAGTCTATTTGTGTTACTGGTAAAGTTTTGGAAGTAATACTTAAAGCAAAGCTGGGAGAATATTTACAAAACAGAGGTATTTACTGTCTACATTGATTCAGAAAACACAGGTATTTTTCTAATGAACTAGAAGTGTTTAAAGAAGCCACAAGGACTGTCGATACACTGAAGAATAAGACATTATATTACATTGTAACGCTACGGGGGTTCATGTGGGTGCCCTCGCCGCTGCCGCATCAGGTCGGCCCCCCACCGTCGGGGACTCGAACCCGGGCCTCCGGCGTCACTCAACAGGGACCCAGCCTCTTGAGCTAAAGGGAGATCTCCCCTCAGCCCGGCGGCTGCGGGCCCTGCTATCCACAGGGAAGGGCGGTGACGTCACCGCACTGGTAAGCCAGCTCAGCTCTCGTAAGCAATGGAGGCCGTATGAGTTACAATATATACAGATCTTCAGAAAGATTTTGATGATGTCTCTCATAAAAGGTTAATCCCCTAATTAAAAGCTCCAGGAACCCGAGGCAATGTCTGTACATGGAGGGCAAACTGGTTAACAAACAGGATGCCGCGTGTTACTTCAAGAGACACGATATGTCCCTACTATATAAATTCCTAAGGGCTACAGACAGGGACACCCCAGGGGACTGCTTCATTCTCCCTCGAGAAACAAGGACACGGGGGCACAATTGCAAACTATTAGGGAACTCTTGTAGAATGGAGAAGAGGAGACTCCTTTTGACAAAAATATAGTTGTGGGAGTCTTGGAACATGTTTCCATGCCAGAATGAAGAGGGCCCAAACTAAACTAAAGCTAATGAAATTGTAGATTAACTTAGGTACTTACCCTCTAAATGAGAAATGGGCTGTCATTTGCAGCCTTTTTCACATGCCTACATCAATCTCCATTAAATATTTTTTAAATGTATTTTTGGGGGTTTTCATTTCAATTTGGAAGTGCAGAACATGCCTCAGCACTGAAGAATGCTGACACTCTCCCGAAAGAAGACTGATTTAATTATAACAAGTACATAATCCAGATATAATGATTTCATTCTTCTTCAAAAGCCAAAATTAATTTCTGTCTATATTTTAGACATAAATCAATACTCAGCTTCTCTTCAACAAGTCGGAGGAGACCAAGACCTGCTAGTAAGACCAGGATCAAAATCAGAACTTCAAACCTCACAGAGCCCACCTGCATTCCATGCCAAGTGCTTGATGACGGCTATCCACAGGCCAGACACTAGAGGCCTTTGGTAAAGACGAAGCCATCATCAGATACTGGGTTTGGAATCTGGGCCTGGGTGAGTCAGGAAGAGGAGTGTTTCACCCCCATCAGTACCTGTCCGGGCTTCAATGTGACCACATGTGGCTTAGCTTGGCCAAAAGCAGGGAACTGCGAGTAGTCTGGGTTGACCACGTTCACCTTGCTGAACACACTGGACTCCTCATAAGGTATCCTGGTGGGATACAGGCAGCGTGTGTCTTCTGGGGGGAAAAGGTGCCATCGTTTTCTGCAAGAAAGGAATTTCCATGTGAAAACAGACACCACGTGTTGCTACACAATGTCATACATGTCTTACCCTTTAGACAATCTCGCCTTCTTACTGGAAATTTAGGATCTCAAATTGTTTTTTTTTGTTAGACGGTGTGAATAGTCACCCATCAGGTTTTTCATGTCTCAGATCAGTGTCGCAAACCCTGTGACCACACATGGGGTGGGTCGACTCCTCTGCCCCGCCCCGCCCCGCCCCGCCCACTTTCCAACCAGTGGGAGCACGGCCCTGCAGAGAAGGATCAGCTCTGATTGGAGGACAGGCCCATCCCTCACTGAGAGCACAAGCTTAAAAGCACTCTGGAGGCCACAGGGGGGCGCTGTGTCAGAATGAGGAGAGCTCCCTCTGGCTTTTCCCCATCCACCCACTGCAAACCAGCTGGGTGCTGCCACTTGCTAAATTCCAGTCATACTCAGTTGGTGACAAGACCCAGGCTCGAACCCGTGATCTACTTGCACAAGTCGAGAGCCTTGACCAGTTGAGCCAGTCAGGAGGCATTTATTTCCTGATCTCAGCCATGACAAAAATGCAAAGCTGTGCCTCCTCCTTAATTCATTACACAGTTCTCATTTACAACAGCGCTCGTGTCGCATGCACTAAAAACAAAAAAGGAAAACATTCCCCTCCTTTTGAAACAGATGCCTTTATTGAGATGTAAAGTTCTATTTAAGTCTAAAACAGTTCTCTGTTATAATAAATCACCCACTGTTGGAAATAACCCACTGGTGCTCTGTAATCCGCCCACAGGAAGGAACAAGGTTCTTATATTTTATTCCCCCGATTTTAAAGAACGCAAAGATTAATTCTTTCCAGGAGAGGGCAGACAGGTCACAAAAACACGAGGTGTGAGAGCAGTTCAAGTGGTGGCATGAATGAAAACACGCAATCAGAAAGATGACTATTAGATGCAACAGAATTTCCCGATTTAAGACAGGATCTATCTTTAGATGAAGGACAGTAATAAAACAATCTGAAATGGTCAAAACAGTTCAGAACCAAGTGTGACATTTTTGCTGAAAGGCAGAATCTGTGTTTTCCAAAAAGAGTTGCACTGCTCTTCTCAGAAACACTTTATTGCATATCTCATGTCCCTTCTCCCTGGCAAGTGGTACGCAGATATTGCTTGCTTTCAGTTGTACTGAAATTGAAGTGAAAATGGACAGATTTCTTTTATGTGCTCTGGCCTCTTGAAACGAAATGAGTTTCAGTACGATCTTAAAAAGGCCTCTAATCTTCATTCCGTTAAACAGATGGGACATTACTTGTCACTAAATGCTCATCTCACTGATTTATCACTTCTATCCCAGACTTTTCCATCTGACTTTATATTAATGTTGGTAATTTGTTTCTTTTAAATCTTGGTTCTTCTCTGGAAAGACAATCCTCTTTCAGTGTTAATCACCGCTCTCCACCCGTCTGAAGCAGGGACAGTTAAAGCTCTGAAGTGTTTCACACTGGCCACTCAGAAGTGTGACCTTTCACAGTCATTACCTTCCCTGCACTTGAAGCACCAGGTTACACCCATACGAGTCCAGGTGGCAGGGAGTGTTTGCCCCCTCTGTGCCAATCCACAGGGTACTGTCTCTCGCATCCCTGCCTGGGAATCCAAAATCCTCCCACTTTATATCCTGCACAGACACAAAAGTCACATGTTCATGCCTGCAGACATCTTCAATGACAATTCTATACTGCTGCTGAAAGGATCACTTTTTCACCACTATCAAATCTTAAGATGTCAGACTTTTTTTTAATGAGCAATACTTTTCTGACTTAAACCCCAAATTGGATCTTTTAAAGAGGAACATGTATTTCTTAGGAACAAATAAAGGTTTTCTCCATGCTGAAAAGAGAAGAAAGGAAACACGATGTTTGGGCTGTGGAGCCTTCTTCGGATGTCAATGATTGCCAGAAATTAAGAGTGAGGTTGAGCAACGCTAAGGACAGTAAAAAAATCTATCTGAATCGGTCAGCCAATGCAGCTACCTACTTGAACCACTTAATCCTTACGCTCAGTGGCCTGTTTAATTGGTACATAAACAAAACAGGAGTTTATGAACAACTCTACCAGAATCACAGTGGCTGGGTCCCATTTCCTTTCATATAGTCATTATATTACCATCTGTTTTAACTCTCTGATGTGGCTTGAAGTTGTGCAGAGGCCCAGAGGACAGAACTTAAACTCTGAGACATTGAAATTCCTCCAGCACGCCAAAAGTAATGCATCTGGTATCCATGAAGGCAATTTCTTGCTTAACGTACTGGAACAGGAGAAGTGAGGAGAAGCTGAAAGGTCTGGGTTCAGAAATTGCAGCCGAGAAGAACGTACTGTACTGAGCTATAGCCTCGGTAGCAATACTGTGAAATAATGAAAAATTAAACAAAACCAGAGCAATACAATTCAGGCTTCCTCTGAAAACTGAAGTTTAAATCCCAGAGCAGCATTTCAAAACCTTTCTACCTACAAGAGGGGAGTGGAAATCCAAATTGAAGCTGTTTTGTCCTTGTCTTTCCTTTCTGAAAGCGGGCTGGAAGCATGAACTGAGGGTCACTGTGCATCTATCTCGACAGACCTCAGGGTGTTGTATTTGCGGTGTGTACAATGTGTGTAACAAGAACAAAACCCTCCTGGATCTCCGCTCTGCCCCAGGAAAATAATGAATGCAGATCTAATAAAGAATGGCAATCTGTGATAACCCACAGTGGGACAAACAAAATCAGCTACTAAACAGAGAGAAAAAGGCATCTCAGGAAATCAAATGTCACCGAATATGAAACCAAAAATCTATTTTTCTGTATGTTCCAACAGTAAGCACATGTTGTTTTTTCCTTTGGAAATAGGTCATTTAAAATCGTCACAAGAGAGGTCTAAATCAATGCACTGGAAAGCAAGAGCAAACATCTGGTAACAGCATTTACTGTGCAGCACCTAAGAGAAGAGAAGATTCCTTGGGTTCTAACAGCACTGCTGGAGCTGCCCTCTGTGACATCACACTAATGGGCCGCACACATATTTCTTCATTGACAGGAAACAACCATCTGTTCTCTAATCCCATTTGTGTTTTCTACATGTGGCTTCTTGCCGCTCATCTTCACAGTACATTTGCTAAACACACTTCGATAACACAGGAGCTCAGCAAGGAGCTTTTTAGAAATTCAGAAAAATATGGTTTGTTCTATATGGCCCAGTCTGTAAGGCCATAGTCTGTTTTACAAACAAAATCCACAGAGAGCACAAACTTCCCCTTTGATGCAACTTCATCTTGATTATTAAATCAAGAGGCTTCAAGATTCACATAAATCTCTCTCCCTCACAAAGACCCCCATTTTAAAATAACCATTAAATGATTAAGTGCATCTTGTGGCACAAAGTTCCAAATCTGAATTGTTTTGGTAAAATAACAAAAATGGCTAAAAACTCAGCAGTTGAAGGTGTAATAGAGAATCAATTCTACCCCTTTATCTAATGATAATCAAGACGTTTGGATCTTACAAAAAGAAAGCAGTGCTGCACTGATCAGTTGTGATCTGTGGGTTTTAAGTGAAATTATGTGAGAGAATACTCTAAATGTAACAACAAGAACACACGAGAATTTATTTCCATCTGACATACATATACAGTAGTCACATAAAATTAAATATCTGCTGTAACTCCATGAGATTAAATCACAATAATACTCAGCTACCTCAAACAACCGAGATTAGACCGGATAAAAGCTGTCATGTGTGTTTAAGGGTTATATATATATTGTAGCACACCAACTTTTTTGACAGTACTAAAAAGTTCAGTGTGCAGAAACCTTTGATTACGTATGGTCTCCTAACTGCCCTTGTGCTGTCAATCTTAGTCTGTTAAGACGGTTAAAAATAAATAGAAAAAACAAAGATGCTGCTCAGCACTCTGGATAATGAAATCATTACTATATCCAGGCAACTGTAAATGATAAACAGTGCAATCCTGGATTTCAACAACTTTTAAATGGCACTATTAATCATCTTAAAAAAGCCAATCCACCTGCTTATCCCAATCTTCCTTGATTTGTTGGAACTGTCAACAAAGACTTGTGCTTAGTAAACATTTTCTATTTCAATTTCTATTTCTTAAACCAACATTAGGAAGGGAATGTGCAAAGAAAATATTTAGAAAAGCACTTCTTTCTTTATTCTATTTACTCAGGTACTTCGCGACCAAAACGAACAGAGTACGAACGTCCCTTTAGATGCACCTTCTTCCTGATGATTATGCTGTCAGGACGGTACAAGTTTCACATAAATCTCTCTCCCGCACAAAGATTCTCATTTAAACATAATTTAAACATTATTAAGTGCATCTAGTGGTACAACGTTCCAAAATCTGAAATACAAAGGCAAGGTACAGGAGTGCTCCAGTATCTTTAGAAATCCCGTTAAAATCAAATATAAAAGTTTCAAAGAAGCTGAAAAAAATAAGTGTATGTCACAATCGCCACAAATCAAAACTGAACTTCACAAAGTAAGGAGCATGTTTTGACTCAAATGGGGTCTGTCTTGGGATTCACTTTTAGCTACTCCTTTCAATAAGGTGTTTAACCTGAGAAGGGAGCTCTAAACTTTTGAAATGGGTTACTTCCTTGTCATGAACCTATATATAATACATTCAAAATTAAATCCTTTGAAGGGTCTCTGTGCCAGAAGATGCATTTAGCATGTGTGGTTGTACAAGGCATTGATAAGACAAAGTTTGGAATATTGTGCAACATTAAGGTGACCACATTTCAAAGAAGAGGTAGTAGAAGAGCATTTTGAGGGAAAGAGGCCACAAGGAAGACCTAGAATAAGATGGCTTGACTCAGTGAAAGAAGATGCCAGCAAGGTGGAAACTGATGTAGACGCATGGAGAGACAGGATGTGCTGGAGGAGGCTAGTTGCCATGGCAATGGACCGGCTTGGGTTCGAGACTTACCTACTCAGTAAGTAAGTAACATTTCAAAAAGGATATACATGTAGTTGCTCTGCAATCCGTCCAGAGAAGAGAAGGCATGCTTAACATCCCGGGACTTAAAGGATTTACCTACACTGACAGTCATACAGAACTGAAACCTTTGAGTCCTGAAGAGATAAGACTATGAGGAGACCTGAAGCAGGAATTGGAAATCCTCAAAGACACTGCCAAAGTCAATGCAGTGCACGTCTTCAGAGTCAACAGTGAAATATACGAACCCAAGGAAACAAGTGGATATAACGTAGAAGAGCATTTAAAGCTGCATGGAACATGCTACCCAGCCAAATCAGTAGAAGCCAATTCCCTGGCTACTTTCAAACTGCGGGAGGATGATGTAACTGTGCTGCCTCGCGTCCCCGGTGTGGTCACCATGGCAACGCTGTTTTTCTGCCAGTGACTTAGTTTCGCAGAACCTGAATTGTTTTGTGCCATTTCAGCTGACCTGCGACTGGGTTTCTTTCAATGGTCCGGTCACTACACTGCAGCGAGGTCCGGGCGTTAGACGGAAGCCTAAAATCTCGAGCCCACACCCAGAGAACACTGTCTCTAGGACCGGACACCCAACTTTCAGTGATAACTTGAGCTTTGCTGGTCCTAAGTGGAGTAGTCTTAAATACCTTAGCCCCATCTCAAAGCACCACATACAGTATATCAAACATATGATGCGTGTGACACGTAATTCCCACCAGGATTATTTCGTGTTAACCAGGATTTCCCCCTCCAGGGAAAACGCTCAGCAACCTACTGAGCAGCCCCAAACCCACTCTGGGGTTTGCAACTGAAAAACCATTGTTAACCTCCCCCCCCCTACCAGGGAAAACAAATTGAAGCTCGTTAGCCATTTCCCCTCCCAGGGCAGAGGAAACTACCCTGTCTTTATCCCTCAATGGCAAACCTTGAACCTGTACCATTTTCGATAGTAGCGGTGCAAACACTACCCTGCTGATCCCATTAGGCCAGCTGTTGAAACATAACTCGTGGTAACAGCAGAGAGAGATGCTCTCCTCTCTTGCAGCCGGCATTAAGCCTCCTGCATGGCTCTATGGGGCTTGTAACACGTCCAAAGACAAATGGCTCGATATGGCAACACTGTGATGTGAAAGTACAACTGGCAACTCCTGATTATCTATCGGGAAACAATAATTGGTAACTTTCAGTTCTGAAAATAAACAGGGTTCTATTTCCATATGCAGAATGGTAGCGTGTTTGCTGAACTGCGTTTTATGAGACCGAGACTCTGTCACTCTGCTGTAAGGACTGCAGGAGTAGATGCAACATTTACCTTTATGAATATAAACAAGAATGTCTTAAAAACATTCTTAGCTGATTTTATATTAGTAAGGGAAAAAGACAGACAAAACTGCAGGTCAAGTTAATATATCGCAGGAGGTGATCGATGGGACGAGGAAATTGAAAGGTTTTGCATCTTTGCTTCCCACCTACCCTTGAGGGACCGGCTATTAAAAGTGAGCAGCTTGTCATGCTCCTCCATGCTTATCCAATGCTCGGTCTCCCAGAAAGACTTTTAGACACAGAAACTCGGCTGTCAAGAGTGCTTCTCTGTTCTGAGCCCCTGCTGAACACAGAGCGGACCAGAGCAGCACAGCTCGCTTATTGAAAATCAAGATCACCTCCTTAATTAAATGGATGGATTGCAGGCGTAGATTAAAAAAAATTGATCCTTACTATCCCAAAGGAATGACTACCTAGTGTGCACATGTTTAACACATCGGTTAGCAGTGGCAAAACCCTTTTGAGCTAAATTAGTATCTGATCTTTACCAAAGCAGACACAGAAAGCTACAAGGGATAAGTGTGGGAAAGTCAGAAACTGGCATTGCATTTTTATACAGTTTGGAAAGGTGTCCCAAAATGAAAGCCGTGTCTCAAATGGGAAAGAAAAGCTAATCGTCTATTCTCCTACTAATAAAACCAGAAAAGAAAAATCCAACACACACACAAAACAAAGAAAAATGTACCTCAAACATGGAGGCTTTGTCTGCAAAAAGCATGGCAATGTACTTGTAGTCAGCATAGGCCCAGTACTCAGAAAGCAAGTAGTCAGAGAAGGGCTCGGAGGGAGAGGCCGTCTGCCCCCTGGACCAAGCCACGAAGTCCTGCAGCTTGGCCTCTGTATAGGAGCACTGGGTTTCAAACAGAGGAACTGCAGAGACAATGGACAGTTATTAGGACGCCATACTGATCATACAAGCAGAGAATATTAAAGAACAGAACTCACTAAAGTGGAGATGCCTGCGTGTTAATGCCCAAAATATCTAAAAAAAAATGAAAAGCTTAATTTCCACACAAAGTTCATCCATTCATTCGTTTTAACATTTTAAGAAAGAGGTAGTATCTGCAGTAATTTACATTTTTCTTTTCCTTCCTTCCGCGGTACAAAGGAAGAGGATTCTGCTCGGTGGTTATGGCAGAAATCGGTAATTATGCATGTTAAATTAAAGCTGCTGCACAAAGGTAGCCAGCCTGTCAGAAGATGAACTGCAAAAATTGATTTTGCAGTTTAACGAGCCAGCTCTATTGTGGATAATTCTATAACTGTCACAGATAACACGGACTTCTGAGTCTCCTTAAAAGCGTAATGATAGCGAGGGAAGCCAAGTTCCACGTCATCAAAACTGACACAGGACTGTGGATGTTTTTGTACAGATTTTTCATGCCGTGGCCTTCCGAACGCCCTTCTCAACCTGCTTCTGAAAATAAATGTGGCTACATGGTAAAAGAAAAAAAAACAATCAAACCTGCCAAACACAACAGAAAAAAGGAAAAAGATGATGTTCCTACATCAAAAATCAGTATTTGTAAATTATAAAGAGTCTGTAATGAACTACAGACACACGTTTCCACTGAAAACAAATATGCATGCACTCGTTAGCTGTGCTTAACAATGGTGCCTAGGAAAACAAGTAACAGAAGCTCCTATTACCTCAAAGGCACCCACACACCACATCAAGTGTTTAAACAAGTCAGCTGTCAAAACAGGTCAATGAACAGAAAGACAATTTTCCTGACAGTTCAACAATACAAAACCGGTGAGTGCCTGAGGGAATTCTGGGTTAACATTTTGTAGGGAGATTGCATTGCTAATTTTTTTACACCATTGTTATCTCCTTCACATTACATTTGAATGTTTAGGCAAACCACCACTCAGCTGATGACGTGTGGTTTCATTTTTCAGTCATAATAACGTTGCATAAAACTTCCTTTGAAGTTATGAGAAACATTTTGATCTGAATCCTGCATTACTGTTGCAAGAATATCTGCAGATCCAGCATATCCCCTTTTATGTTTACCCCTACAATATGTCAGGACTACTCAATCAACCACGCAGTCTGGGTCTAGGTCAGGCAGTACTGTATGCTGCTGGCTTTCGGAGCAATGGGAGAGACATTCATCACCTGCTCATCAGACGATGGCCAGAGCTCGGCCTGGTTTCGGTAGGATGAGCCGACGGGAGAGCAAGAGACTCTCCCCACCCCTGGCTGGGACAGCAGTTCTTCACAGGGATGACCAAAGACATCTGGTCGGTCTTCAACTGTCCTGACCACATTTTATGTGTGCTATTGAGAGTGTGCTCACGTGTGGTATTACAGTGTGGTTTGGCAGCAGCTCGTCGTCTGAACAGAAGGCGCTATAGAGGGTGATCAGGTCAGCCCAGTCCATCGTTGGAGTACAGCTCCCCTCTGTATCAGACATCTTTACAACTCGCTGTCTCAGGAAGGGAGGAAGTATTGCTAAGGATGCCCGTTTTCTCCCTCCTTCCTTCTGGTAAGCGTTATAGGGCCATAAAGGCACGAACATTCAGATTCAGAGACAGTTTCTTCCCACAAACTGTCAGCTTACTGAGCTCGTTCAGGTGGGTGGCTGCATCAGCAAGCGTAGGCTGCAATGAAACTAGTAAAAGGTTTATTCCATGCTGAAGAGAGAAGAAAGAAAACACAAGGAGCCTTCTCAAAAAAGGCTCCATGGCCGAAACATTGTGTTTTCTTTCTTCTCTTTTCAGCATGGAATAAACCTATTACTGATTACTGAGGTCTACCCCTACCACTGCCTCACACTGATGGTTTATTAATTTCACTTGTGGTTGTTGCTGCCGCGGTTCTGTGTTTATGTTGGTGGTGTTTCCTTAATGTCTTTGTTTTGGAGCATACGTGCAAATAAGCATTTCATAGCTAGGACTGTACAGGGGGTAAGTGGTGGTGACATTGTTGGAATATTACTAATACATGGGACTGTAATCCACCAACCAACATATGAATAGTGTTACATAAAGAAATGCTGCCAATCAAACATATTAACAGGAAGTTTAGTACACAAGAACACAAGAAAGAAGACAATTGATAGAAGGCCCCGTAGCCTGTGTTGATTTGTGTTACTTCTTGCCATAGATCTCATCCAGCTATATCTTAAAGAGCGCGAAGGAATCAGCTTCAACAGTTTGTGGAATACTGTACATGAAGTGTTTTGTTCTGACTGTTTGTACCGTATGTCAGGACCAATTCAAATTAAATGAAACCAGTGTGTAACAGCAGACTTGGTTAACGGATAGGCATGGCAGAGTGAGTTCTCTTTATCGGTGCACGAGGTCTTCATCTGGACTCTTAAAGTGGAAATGAGTACCTAGTTAAGGTACTGTATCACCCTATTAAAGCAGACAGCGATGCAGCTTTTCACATACAGAACATTTGTTCAAGGTTTTTTTTTCATTCCTCCCCCCCCCCCCCATACCGTTTCTTTCTTGTCTCTTCCCAAGTCGGAATTTGATCGGCCGGCTTTCGAGGACGCGTGACAGGTAGTCCACGTTCCACTGCAGTCCAGGCCAATCGGACGCCATATTGCAGAAGACGGCCGGCTGCCTGAGAGCCCCCACGGTCCTTCTGGCTTCCTCGGGGGCAAACGGTTTGGCAGCCATGCCTGCAGGGTGCAGCAGAGCTCTGGGCAGAGTGGATCACCGCACGAGATGGATCAGCACCTCTGTGGCACAGCAGGCATCTCTGCCCTGGAGGCGCATGTCCAGATCACAGAATCCAATTCAGTTCTTTATTCTTCTATTCTGCCTTATTCTTCATTGGGGACTGTACTGCACCTCAGCACTGAAGGCTAAGAACAACTGTGAACTCGTTCTTAGAAATCACTGATGCTCTGAAGGTGCAGTGTAGAACAGTCTAGTCTGGTCTCCTGTTTCATGTATACTGTAATAATATGTGAAGAACCAAATTAGTATTTAACAGGCTAAATGTCCATTTTTGGCACAGTGAAAGCAACCAGTTTCTAGAATTCAGTTTTATTTTGGTGATTTCTGGCAAACATACATTTAGCAATTTAAGAGCAAAATGTGCCATTTATAGCCCTTAATCAATAGTTATTTTGAGCGTTTTAAAATTGCAAATATGAAAAGAATCCATCGAATGCCAGTTTGACAGTATTTCTGACTTCAAGCAGAAACGCTCAAAATACTACGGGGAAAAGATCATAATGGAATATGGGAAAGAAACGTAGTGGAAATAACTAATATTACTATTAATATGTATTATTCAAAGCTACTTCCATTTGTACCCATGTTTACAGCTGTTTATTTGCCTGAAGGAAGCTGATTGAACTACCTGTCCCAGCGGTGTCCCACTTGGTATTTAAACCCATAACCTTTTATTTACGAGTCCTGACCAGCATCTATTCTGTTTAAAAGATACTCTTCACCTTCGGATTTTGCTGTCTCTGACGCATACTTTCACAGAAAACATATCCAAGTATAAAAAACGCATAGTAATAAAATAACAGCAACAAAACCCACTGCACTTCATCGTACATTATCTTATATTAAATCACGCATTACGTGACAAACATTTGATCGTTGAACATAAAAATGAACACGAAATGAAAACTAGAAAAAAGTGACTAGCGGGATACATCTAGTAGTGACAGCTCTCAAAGCATTTATTTCGTTAGGTTGAAAAGTAAATGAGCACAGACTAGTTAAGTACAAAGCCCATGGTCTTAAGACAATGTATCAAAATATGCCATTTCTCTTATAAAGACTCCAGTGAGGAAGGTCTTAAATCTGATGTAAATATACAATTATTTACATTTTTAAATTAATACAAACTAAAGAGAAAGCTGGACTTTATTCTTATCTGTAGCTAGACTTTATAACTATTCAAACTACAGTACAGGTTTAGACACATTATACATACCTATCTTTTTAATCCCAAAGTAATTAGAAAGCCGTTTTCAGATTGCTTTGTACTCATGTGCTCTCAGTTTTGAATTCGGAAGTTCGCTTCAGATCAATCGCGATTTAACGCCAGCAGCAAAACCAGGAACAAACATCTAGCACGCTGGCTTCTCTCGCGTCGCGACTAATAAACGTCACACTTGTGGTTTCTGAAACATTAAGGTATTTAATAAAGTATGGGCCGCTTAACACAATTACCATCATTTAATAAAAAATATTTTTTTATTAACATCTGTAGATTGAAGCCCCAATCGACCAGAATGCTGCTAAGAGGGATCAACGTCCTGTAAACAAAACTCACGTGAGAAAAGCATAGGCTTTGTTGACAAAGAGAAGCTGCGTCCATTTCGGCTCCGTTATGGAACTACAGATCAAACAATCGATGGGGCTTTTGAAACAAAATGGCGGATAACCAGGTTTAGTTTCACAAACGTCGCCAGGACATTCGGCCACACCATTGCGCATGCGTTATAAGGCTCCGGCGTCAACAGTGCTCTGCTAGGTTGTTTTGATTTTTGAAAGAGACCGGTGGAGGCTTGTGTAGCGTAGTGCCGGTTCGCTGGAAGTTAGGTATCCCGGGTCGCCAGCACACAGGACGTTTGAAAACACCCCCTGCCGCGGCGAGTTAAATGGGTGCTGGTCCGAGCGCGGAAGGCGAAAGGGAACCACTTCTAGACCAAGTGCAGAGCCGAGTGTACGGGAAAAGATGGCTGGTGCTGGCGATCTTTTCTGCCTTGGGGTTTATGCAGGGCATGGTGTGGAACACCTGGGGTCCCATCCAGATCTCCGCCAAGCAGGTGTACGGGTTCACTGGCATTGACATTGCCATGCTGGTCCTGTGGGGCTCCATCGGATTCATCCCCTGGATGCTTTTCATGTGGGTGATGGACAAGAGAGGTAAGGGCAGTTCGTCTCGCTAGGTACATCGACGCTCCCTTGGGTCTCGGGCACCAGAAAGGTTGTCCGGTGCCAGTACATGATTAAATCTCGCCAGGTGTACGGCTCTGTGTTTGTTGTACTGCGTCTTTGCTAAGGCACCTCAGCTATAAAAGCCACTGTCGCGTTTTCTCGATCTGTACTTGAAGGTGGTCTTTCTGAAGATGCCCTGCGGAAGGAGTATAAAACATCGAAGCAAACACGATTATTCTACTACCGAAAGTTTTTTTTTTTTTAAAGGCTAACCTTTTTTTTTTTACAAATAAACCGGTACAATAAAAATGGAGTATCTCTATTAAGATGGAAACAAAGAGCCACGGTGAGGTGGTGGTTTTGGATATGCAAAGGTAAGTCACATTGATAAGATAAATGTACAGCCAAGCTTGTATTAAAGACTCCATTCAGACTCGACCCAGTTACAGGTCCCAGTGCACACTTTCTGACAAGTTTCCTGAATGCCAGTGAGGGCTTGCATGTCAGTGTTCTTCAGTGCCTTATATGCACATGTACTGTAAGAAATGCTTACACGCTTAAAGTAATTAGTACTTGCAGCTCAAGTAAGCACCCGTGTCAGCATGTGTAGGCCGCAAAGGAACAAGTAAAGGTTTATTCCAGGCCGGAAAGGGAAGAAAAATGCAATGTTTCGGCTGGCGAGCCTTCTTCGGGTGTGTGCCGAAATTTCTCCCCACACATGCAGGGGAGCCCAGCAGTGGGTTTTATAAACGTCTTTGAAGTCCCAGCCTCTGCGGACAAGGGACAAGAAAAGGCTTCGTTCCATCCAATTAATCAAATAATTTGTCCAGTGAAGTAATTAAGGGCTCAGATGGAAAGAGAACTAGAAACCTTCTGGCCCTCCAGGGCTAAAGTTCAGAACACCTGGTCTAATTTATTTCTGAAATATTTTCACTTGTATTTTGCGCTTGTCATCTGTTGAACGAATACGAGTGTAAGTGCAGTTTGAAGCAGTGACACTCAGTCCTTCCGGCACCACTTGGATGGGGAAGCGAAAGTGGGGTGGGGGGAATGTGGAGAGTTTTGAGCTTTGCGCAGCTGGACATATTAACCTGCGACAGCGTCAAGAAGGGGAAAGAGGTGTCGTAATTTGTACAGAATTTCAGCCGGAGCTTCCTTCTTTCCTCTTTGTGGTGTCGGACAGCTTTCTGTCAGACCAAGCCTGTGAAACTGTCATGCAGAACTCGCGCCACCCTGCTGTCTTTCCTGAGGGGGCTGGTCTGCTGCATCGTACGCTGGTCAAAACCACGAAACTGTAGAAAAACCAGTTAACTTCTACTCTATACAGTGAGCATGTGAACTAACCATGTGACCAAGGCAGGTGCATAGTGCAAGCACCTTGTAAACCAGAAGCAATGAGCCAAGAAAGGCAGTACCAGTCATCAGGGTGCCAGTATAACCTTATATAAGTTTTTATGGCGCGGCTCATGGTATCGTACCGTCTGAACGCGATTTCAATCCAGAACTGCTGATTTTTACTGCCATGTGGGCTGTAAACTTGTCACTTTTGAAATAACTACCGCAGCAGAAAATGGAATAGCACCAGAGGAGAGCTGTGCACCACTCTGCAGTCTCGCCCAGTCAATCGGACATTTAAACCTAAGTGGGTCTTTAAGGACGGGTGTTTTGGCTGACCTTCTGGAAACAAAAAAGTCAAAGTGGCCGCAGAGCACAACTCCGTCTCCCTTCACACATAAACTTGTTGTCCATGTCTGCTGGCTCTGCTGTGAGCGTAGTGTTAAAGCAGTTTAACAGCTTTATAGGATCTGTAAAGCTGACAAGCAACAGAAATGTAAAAACTAAACAAAAGATGATTCCATTATTCAAGATTAATGGATGTTTTAGAGTTATTTTAATATGCTGGGTGGATCGCTACTTTGTCATTTTGATTTATTTTTGCAAGCTTGAAGTAAATACACTAGCGGTATACATGTACATCTGAAAAACAGGTCCTCAACGCAGAAAGTCTCGATTTTGTTCCTGTGGATCCCAGCCCTGATGCTGAAGAACCAGTGTGTCTTCTTCGTTTTCCGTCCTCCTACCAGAGCTATCCCCAACTGTTTAAGAGCGAAAATGAAATGAAAATGGTTAATGGTTTAATGAAGTAAGTGAAAGTTCAGCTTGACTGCGGACTTTAACTTTCAAACCACTGCCATAAGTGAGTTAGAGAATTAATTGTTTTTAGCTATTTTATTTTTAAATCAAGCTATGGTTCCGAAAACCCATAATCCAGCACCCTTAAACCATTCCGGACCACCCTTAAAGCTCTAATTTACAAAGCCTGGGAACGCGTCAGTTCTGATCAATTCAGTAACAGAATCATTCTACACATTCGAAAACTGATCATCAAAGAGTCACCCTGAAATCACAGTGGCTCCATTGGACCAGCGTTGGTCACACCTGAAATAGTCTAAGCCTGCTACAATGAGGAAATGTTCTTTTTACGTCAAATCTGATGTATTTTGTCTTCCTCTTCTGTCTTACACACTTCTGCTTCTTGTATTGTGATACTGTTCTTCTAGTGCAAGTTTGGTGTTTCCTGTAAACGAGGTCATTAAAAGAACATGTCCTGCTGAGACTTTAATAGGGGAATTATTATTTTCTGTAAAGATTAAGACCCAAGCAGCAAACAGTATCTTTAAACCTGAGCCTTCTTGATAATTTGAGATTTGCTCAGCAAAGTGGTCTTGTTTCCATACAAGCTTTCTTTAAAACAGGAATTAAAGACTCATTTTACAGGCTCCTTACCCGTCACGCCAGTTCTACAATCTAAATGTACATTAATATATTTTTATTTTTTTAAACTAAAGGGCTGTTGGTTACTCTGAAGCCTGAGAAGCAGTTATTAAGAACAACAGACGATTTCTCCATGAAATAGCTCATCTTAAACACTACTGTCAATGCGTTTTTCTGTCTGGTTTGTAGCTATGATGAGACTTTTTGAAAATAAGCTTATTGATTTCTTCTGATTTTCTTACATTCATACATTTCTACAGGACGTTCATATGTTATTCTGGAGTAACCTATCTAAATATTGTACCTACTGTACTATATCATGTCTGTGTGGGACATGCTTATACATTCAGGTTCCTTCACTTCTGATATTCACTATACACTGTGCAAAGTCCGCATATCCAGATGTGGTGGATTTTGGCAAAAATAATTGTGAACAAAGGCTTTGGACTGAAAGTAAATTGTGAGTGATTCTCTTCAGTGCCTTTTTGAACATACTGTATATTACTGAAATTAACCATGCTGCCTATGTGCTCACAAATAAACTGAAACACAGTTGCTGTATTAATAAAGACTAAGATAATTCTATTCTTTTTTATCTGTAATGCAATGTGGTGCAAATATGAAACAATGCCGAATGAGGTTGTTGAGGACAAAGGGCTCTGTTTTTGGCTTGCTGTTCGCTGGACCAAAGGTAATGCATTTTTCAAAGGTCCAGGCGAGGTCCAGCAGCGCATTGTTTCCTTTCATTCCCAGCTTTTGTCTCTATCGACGAGGAATTTAGTGTGCACCCTTTAGATACTGGATCTTGAAAAGGAGCAGTCTGTAGGGATGGCAACCTTAAACCCAGATATATACGCTAGTACGTTCATTTCCCAAAAAATCAAGCAACACATTACCAGAGTCAC